ATATCATGATAAAAAAACGAGTTCGAAAATAATTTAAAAAGTACGAATACTTGGTTTATAAAACTCAAGAATTTTGAGTTTTGCAAAACTTCTTAAGTCACCTTTTGTATTTTCAAAGTTTTGTCATCCGATTAGTGCTTTTGTGCCTGTAAATTATTTCATCCTTATCTCTCTATCTTGAAGAACGGCGCTATTTGCAACTTGTGGTAGAAATTTTAAAAAGCTTACTGTCCAGATGAAATTGCTCAGAGCAAAAATTAAAAAAATCTAATTTGCTTGCTTAACTAGTACAAATTGTTTGCTTCATGAAATATTTTCACAAACTTTATACAAGATTCCCTTAAAAGCACTATATCCGAATGATCAGTGAATTGCCGGATTATAAATTATAATCATTCAAAACATTTTCTTTGTAATTTGTATGTTTCGTGGTCTAGGAAACGAAATTTCATTTCAAGTCCCTGTTTTTAAGACAGTTCCATCGCTTCCATTATACCATTTTCTTGATGAATGCGAAATTGTTTTTTTTTTTTGCTGTCTTCAAGTCATTTTACGACTCAGATAAATAATCTAATTCTTATTATTACTATGTCACTTATATTGATAATCAATTTCAAGAGATTACATATACAATGTATATATTAAATGACTAATTTAATTAATTTTATCAGTATTTTATATAAAGTCAATTTACATTTATTAACTGGATTGGAAATCAGACATAACATATATAAGTCCTCTCCAAGTGGTCAGGTTACAAATGTTAAGAATCGACAATGGTTTACAATAATTAAATAATTCATAATAAACTACAATACTTAAAACTAGAAATAGGAAAAAAAGATAAAGATAAATTACACACGAGAGTTATTACTTAACATATACAAGAAAATAAAAGAGTGCAAACAAAAGTCCTTCAATGTAAGATATTCAGTTACTACACAATTCTTTGTTTTTTTGTTTTTTGTTTGTTTTTTTAATAGAGAAATTGCTATAAAAAATAGTTATATGAAAAAAAATCAACTACAATACAATTTAGATTAATACTGTTTATTTATATGAGAAATGTCAACGACTATATACAATTTAGATTAGAACAACTTTCTGATGGAGGCCTTCAAATCAGCTTCGTAGTTTGATCTCATATCCTTCAAGCAGTAAGGGATCTTTTTTGACCTATTGACATGGGTCCTTAGTTAATACAACATTATCCTCAGGACCAGTTTCAACGTGCGAATTGGCGACAAAAGGATCAACTCCTAGATGTAAGGCTCAACCCCTTAGTACGAAACTCTAGAGGAAACAGTCTAACAACTTCGCCACCTCGGCAACAATGTAAAAAATAAATTTAATGGTTATTTAAAAAAAAAAGAACATAAAGGTTCAATCATTTTGTTTTCAGTTCATTTATTAAGAGACAAAATCTTCATTTAATTATATAATTGTGAGATATATTGAACGAAGACCAGGAAGGAAGTTTAAAACATATAGTTCTGATTTCATTTGACAAGAAAAAAAATACACTTAATGTTAAAAAATAAAATCAAGTATTACCTAACGATCATTAGCTGTTCAGTTTCTTTCAACGGATGAGCCGACATGTTTTTCCTTTTTTGTCTTTTTTTGCCATGCATACTTTTTACACTTTCTTTGACAGCTTCTCCAGAATCTTCAAAAGATTAATGAATACTTTCCATGATCCAATGTAATTTTCTGGAAATGTTGCCATCATTTCAATAAAGGTTATTTATCATCCAAAGTGCCGTACAAGGCAAACCATGTCTCCTTGATATTTAACCTTTTCGTAAATTAAAATTCATGTCATTTTTTAAATTTTAGTTTTAAAGAATTGCTGCAAGACACATTTGCAAAAAGGAGATTTCAAATTGTCCAACAGAGATATAATTAAGATGATTAAATAAAAACTGCATGCTTTAAAAATTTAATAATAGAATTAATATTTATTAGTCGATCAATAAAGAAAATCTTATTTTTTGATTTGTAATCCTGATTGAAATTATGTCGCATGGTAAAGAACGTAGGAAAAATGAACGAACACACAAACAACAAATGTTATTCAGTTTCCATCGAAACAGTGACGGTCAAGGTATAAATCATATTCTATTATTATTTGTTTGTTTTTCCTTTTGTCAATAATACAGAGCAAAAAATATTGACTCTAATATGCGCTTAATTTAGCATAATATAAATTATGAAGTTCTATAAAAAGGACGCGAATGATATTAAACTTTTTGCTATGACGCACAAGATCCTTCAGAAGATTCAGTAAATAACTGAATGTATTATAATAGCATTATAAAGAAAGATTCATTTTTTTACGGTAAGTTGCATAGCTATGAAGAAATCACGTATCTCATCGATTAAAACCATGTCAATTTAATTTCCTTCCTTCATCAACCACCTACTAGACACACAACCAACACAACCATTCATCAAAACTTACCACAATTATGTATTTCTGATCTTTAGAGTATTAATATGTACTATTCTGGCTAATCTTCCAGGGCCGAAAACCAATAAGGAAAGATTAAAGGGATATATATGGGTTTTTTTCTTTGCCAGAGATTCCTCACTCATCTTAAATTAGGTCCACTTAATTAAGAAGTCTAATTATTTCCCATGAAAATTATATCCAATTTTTTTGAATTATTCATTTAGTCAACTAATGATGACCAGTTTTTCAAAACACTTCCTTTTCAATGGCCTTGAATGCAGAGCACAGGTCTTAAATTTTCAGCACTCCTCCGGCAAGTGGTGGCATCTCAGTATGAGCGAAAATTCTCAATAGGGACGTTAAAACAGACAAACCAATATTAAAACCTGCAAAGAGGAACAAAAGTTGGCCTTTCAAGTTCACTTTTCTCTATATATAAATGGTAAGAGAGGTACTATATATATATGTATACAAATACGGGTATATCTTGCATCAAACAGTGAAATAAGGACATATAAAAATAATTTTGTAAAAAGTGCATACATTTCATTTTTCAAAATTATTATGTTTTAAGCACCTAAACCAGTTCAGAGGAAGTTAAAATATTTGATTTAGAAATAAAATATATGATTACAAAAATATATTACTAGGCATTCCACTAGTATAGTATATATGAAATATAGTATATATATATATATATATATATATATATATATATATATATATATATATATATATATATATATATATATATATATATATATAAGATATAGAAAAAAATGTTTTCTTCTTTGATGAAAGGATTTTATATACATTTCTACTAAAACTTTTTGAATACATTCATTTCAATTGTCAATGACATGTTAAGATCGCCAGTGTTACCTTGCTTCAAAACATGATTGCAAGAAAAACTTCTAATGAAAGGATAAAGAAAAGAAATGTGGTATAGCAATAAATGAATGAATTTCATTACAAGTGTTTTCTGTTTGTACCAAAAATAACAATCCATAGAACAATGAATTTAAAAAAAAAGTACGAAAATGATATGAAGATGAAGTATTAAAAAAGAGGTCATTTTAATAATCTAATACATTAAATAATGTATTCATTATGCATTTTCTTGAAATATATTTTATGTCTCTTTTTCTTAAAAAACAATTATCTTCCGCGGTTGAGATTTCCGCATATGTCATTACCGATTGTAAACGCTTACAATAATGATAAGATCTGCCGAACTTGGAACCACAAAATATGAAATCTAATGCCTATAGTTGTGTATAACATTCCATCATAAATTCTGAGGATAATTTATGTTTCAAAGTAATTACGTATTATTTTTATGTAATTAAAATTTTATTTTCAAATCAAATGCAAATGAAGATCTACATGGCCATTGTACACAAATCAGGATTCAATGAATTACCCCAGATAACTGAATTTGTCAATAGCACTATGATATTGATAAACAATATATTTCATAGCGAAATAAACCACAAATATGTCGTTAACAAGCAAGAAAGACATAAAGGTGACGTTTTAATGTAACCGACAACAGAAACGTATGTCAACCTGTCATTTTTTCACCTGCGAATTATTAATAAAAAAATCTACTTCAAACGCACAAACTTCTAAATAAACAAACACAAAATACAAATAAATCAGTAATAATTATAGTTAAAAAAAAAAACAATACAAAAAATGAAATTTCCTATTTGCAAATTAATGTCAAGCATAAAATAAAGGGTGAAAGAACCAAACCGCACAATATTAAATTCTCCATCGTAAGATGGCTAGTGGATTCTTATTTTGTCAAAAAGAAGAATTTTCCAATATGTTGGGGATGCATTGAATGTTTTATTTCATGGTGATGTTAATAATGTTTAAGTCATCTTTATATCTATTTTCATATTTACGAAAAAAAAATTGTTTTTGGAGTTTTCTCTCAAATATAATGATAAAAAAGAATGAATTGAAATATAAATCTTACACGAAAATAAAAAAAGAATAAAAATATAAGAGGCGATGTCGCAAAGAAAAATAATAATAAATTTGCTATAGTTTTTATATTCAACAAATGTATTTTGTATGATAAGAATGATGCAAAATGTTTCATACAAAAAGAAAGAAAAATTTCTCAAACCAGTCGAACAACTTTCAAAGATCTTGCATTCTGAACTCTTCAGATGAATATGCATGGATGGGCTGTACATCATACAGAAAGTGCACACAAAGTATATTGAAGATGATGAATGAGTGATAATATCCGGAGACAGAGTTTTAGAAAAGAGGATGTTTTATTGTTTTTCACCTTTATTTGATGAATGAGTTAGTATTGTTTTCCGGACCTGTTAGATTCTTCAAGCTACGTCACATACATATACTAGGCAACAACCAATCATGTATATCACACGATTTAAATCGCAAAAAAGCACCAGAAAATTCCTGAAAAATTCACTGTGACCCATGTAATTGATTTTTGCTCTTTTAAAACTGGTATAAATAAGACCCCGATTTCAAGGTATAGTCACAATAACATCTATTTCCTCCAAAAAGAAAATTCTTCAATTCTTTGCTTTAGCAAAATGCAAAATTCATTTAGAGTAATTGTTATATTTTATTTGGTTTCTCAACTGAATTGGACAGTCAATGGCGATTCCGACAGTGGTGAGTAATTATTTAATTCAGCCTTCTTGATCACTAATTGCCGTTCTTTGAAGCAATATATTGATTTTTGATACTGAAAGCTATTTGGTTTGGTCGTCTTTTCTAAACTGAAAATCAAAGACCAATCTCTAGTTGAAAATGACCACTACATGTATTTTGCTTTTTTTGCAGAATGTAAACAGCTTTTCGACATTGTTTTCTGTATTGACGGCTCCGATAGCATCAACAAAGTTGATTTTGATACTTTACGACTTGCCATGGAAGGTCTGGTAGATCGTCTTAACATTGGAGAAGGTAATGGCAGGATGGGAATGGTCGTCTATAGTCGTGATATAGCTTTGGAAGTACCACTTTCAGATGATAAAGACTACCTTAGAAAGCAAGCACAAACAATGCCTCATCCACGGGAGGGAACGAACACAGACTTGGGGATCGAGAAAATGAGAGAAATCTTCAGGGGTAAACCTAGAGATGGTGTACCGATGGTGGGAATTGTTGTGACGGATGGTATTTCTAAAGAACCACCTCTGACTGCCATGCAAGCATCTCTGGCGAAAGAATACGGAATAAATATGTACTCTGTTGGAGTCACACACTTAACGGATATCGATGAACTTAATGCCATTGCATCAAAACCATCACAAGTTCTTACCGTTGAATCTTTTGATATGTTGGCTAGGAATCTGGAAAACATTGTGAAGCTAGTTTGTCCTAGTAAGTATTACAAGTTTCATGACTATTCAGTTCAATGTATTTCGATTAATTTGCTTCATGTTTATTATTCACATCGTCATTGACCGCTTTTGCTATAGCTTAAACAAATTTGTTGGTATTTTTAGCAACAACAACAACAACGACGACGACAACAACAACCACCACCACTACCACCACCACAACTCCTGCACCTACCACCACCACCACCCCAACAACAACAACGACAACACCAACTACGACAACTACCACACCGACAACAACAACAACAACGACACCGACAACAACGACACCGCCAAAACCACCCGTTAATCCCGGACCAGACCCACGCATCTGTAACGACTGTAAAATGAAAAACGGCGAGGGATTCCACAGCCACCCTGAAGACTGTGACAAATACATCCAATGTTACTTCGGATACGGCGGTAAAGTTCAAGCGGTTTACAGACAATGTCCGTTTGGAATGTATTGGGACCAAGAGGAAATCAAATGTAGAAATGCAGCAGAAGTACCCTGTCCAAAAGGTAATATTAAAGTTGTGTTTGAGTTTCGACTAAGGGAACATGAGTGTTGTCAATTTGCTAATTTACTGACATCTTTAGACTTTGATTTTTATGCATATGCACAATGATATTTTTCAGAAAGATAAGTCTTTTATTGAAAACATTCGTTCATTACAGATAAATGTTCCATACCAAGTATACTGTCTTACCCATTTGGTCATATGGAGAACTGCAAGGCACACTGGATATGCAGCCATGGTAAATCAGTACCAAAGTGTTGTCCTGTTGGGTTTGGCTATGTTCCTTTTAAAGGCTGCATTCCTCAACCCCAATGTAAAGATCCCTGTCCACTAGAAGAGAAAAAAGAGAAAAAAGAATGCAACAAACGAATGAGTTTTGCTGATCTCGACAAGTACGAGGAATTTGTCTATGGTTATGGATGGGTGAAGAAATGTTGTGAGCCCGGGAATATCTTTGACAGTGATTCATGTCAGTGCCTGCCATTAAACAGTGGAAAAATTCATCACACCGATGACCAAAAGGACAAAGGTAATGGCAATTACTTGAGATTTTTTCTTTCAATATTTCACATATTTTTTCTGTTCTAATATGCAAAACGCTAGACGGTTTAATCATATAATATTGTTTCTAAATTCTAGTATGCAAAGCAGTCGTACACATTCCATTTGACAAAAATTGCCTGGATACCTCTGGTAACCATGTCTTTGTCGAAAATCACAACGTCCAATTTATTGGTAATGGTCTTGGATACTTTGATGGAAACGCTAGGCTATCTATCCCGAAATTTCCCGAGATGCAGTCAGCCTCCACATTTGTTATAAAGATGCGCTACCTAGACATTCCAAGTAAGCACATGGAAGGCCTAATCAGCAATGGTGACTGTGAAAAAGAACAACCAACTATGTTTATGATAAAGGGAAGAAGAGGCATAAACTTTATGGCAGAGAGCGCAAAGCATAAAATTACAACTTTCCATTTACCCGCCAAGGTGAGGAAAAAAAATGATTAGATATTCTTTTTTATGTCTAGAATATATTTACATGTAAGATTTGAAAAGTAAGATCCATGATCTATGTAAACGAGAAAGTCTTTGGTAAGACCTTGTAGAATGAATTTAAAACGTGCTCCTAATTTTTTTCTATTTATATTTTAGACTGCTTGCTGGAACGAAGCTTATTTCATCCACGATTCGAATACCCTGGAGGGTTATGTCAACGGCAAAAGTTGTAAGAGATGGACCTACGGACCAATCAAAATGGCCCATGGAGGCCTTAACATAGGAGCAGTAAAAGGCTTCCAAAACTTTCAAGGATTTATGGATTATGTAACAATTTATTATTGTCATGAAGAGAAGAAAAGGTATTGATCCCTACCTGGAGGAAATCCACAAGCAATACTGTGATATTGACAATTATAAATTTGATTGATGCTGACAGTAGCCATTAAATGGCAATTTATTTAAGTTTGTTAATTTATTACAATAAATGAAGCTTGTTAATTGTTGTTGGGGTTGTGAATAAAAATATGAAAACTCTACTTAATGTGTTATTCTTTTTATGCTGCATGATTAATATGAAATGTTTACATAACAACTGCTGTTCTTATGAGTAATAAAAATGGAACATTACTAAGTTAAAGAATAAAGATGTACACACTTTTTTTTTTACAATAAGTAATGGTCGATATTACTATTTCGATAAGATAAGGATTTTTGTTAACTGATTGGTGATCATATATGTTTAACTTCACTACGAAAGGGAATTAACTCCTATTAAATGAAATGAAGAAAAATGTTAAGATGACAAGATATCATCTATAACTTTTTTGTGATGGAAAGATATTTATACAATATTTCAAATGGTCACATTAATCGCATGCGTTTTGTTTTATCTTACCGAAAACCTGAATTGACTCTAAGATTTTTTTTTCATACAAAAATGAATAAACAAATATGACATAATACGATGATAAAATACAATATAGTATTAACATATCAAAAGATTATAGTTTATTTAAAGTTTAACTTAAAAAAAAGAAGACAAAAACAGATGTAATTTACATACTCAGTGTATATGTTTAACTATCAATAAGAAATATTGAAAAATAAAAAGTTAACAAAAAAATTGCGGTTCCATGTCGAAACCCCTGATTTCTTTCAAATTTGCTGCACGCAATTCATCGATTCTATATAATATCAATACTATGATTTCCAATAAGCACCTCAAATGATATTAGTAAACTCAAATTATTTAAAAACTTCTTCGGTGGAATAAATGTTATATTGCAAAATAGATCTGTAGCATAGTTACTATTTGCTACTCCACACTTTTGCAATGTGTGTTATACAGACAGATTAAGGAGTTAGAAATTTGCACAACATATACTTACATGCATTACGAATTATTTTCTCTACTCGTATATCAAGCCTTCTTTTTTTTAATAATTATTATAATATAATGTATATAATTATGATATTTTATAATAATATATTATTTTAGAATTATTTTCACATAATTTTTATTTTTATAATTTATAATGTTTTTACACCAATGAAATCTCTATTGGTACTCCTAACAGAATTGTGACGTTTTAGTGGATGAAATATATGGAGATCACGAACAATAATTAAGCTCAAGAGTCTATCAAATAACACAGTTAGGGACACAGCAACGGGGACCTCCAAATGATCAGAGGTGGGATAAGGTGTCATGAAGAAATGAGCATTCCTCTGCCCACCGGTCACACCACACTATACTACTTGTCGTGATCGGGAAATATGGGATAAATCTGTTGACAATCTAGTGTGTATAAAATTGACAAACAATTTGTATAAAAAACGTCAGTCAGCATTTGACTTAATGATAAATTTTATTTGCTGACATGGTCATTGTATCGACCATAGAACTTAGGAAAGGATGACTTTAAACGAGACTGCTGATATTATTGTTTCATTAACTTGTTTGTCAATAATTTACAACGTTCCAGTAATTTTACATACGTATGCAGCATGCTCTTGCGTATCGAACCAACTAAGGGATATAATCTTCGTAGGCAGGTGATGAAGGTATATTGCTGCATAAGTAAGGGAAGTTGTCGATTGAAATGGTAAAATCATCACGTTTATCATACAGCTTGGTTGTTAGATTACCATTTATGACTTTTTAAAAATAAAATATCAAAATATGAAACAGATGTGTCAGACTCTGTGGTATTTGTTCTCTCAAACTCACTGGGATATATAGTGTCGACACAAGAATGGAAATAACCATTGTTAATTGACAATTCGTCGACGATATACTTGTTTGTCAATAACTACCCTCGTTTTAAAAATCGTTCTTACGTAGAGCATGCTCTTGCGTATCAAATCAACTGAGAGATATAAACCCGAATGATGAAGGTATATTGCTTCTTAAGTAAGTGAAGTTGACAATAAAATCAAAGCAAAATATCATGAATATGAAATAAATATACATCAAATAAATGCAGGTCATATTTCACAGGCAATTAATATTTAAACATTTTATATGAATTTGCGTTAGTTCTTTCAGCAATATTCTTATTCTTAGCACTTAATTAGTAGTCTTACCTTTACTTTTCTTCTTCGCCTTATTATTTTTTTCCTTTGATTTTTCTCAATGTTTTGAAAACCTCAAAGTATTTCAATTTCAAAAGAAAAAAACCTTTTACAACAGTGTAAGAAAATTATTTAAAGCCATTACAAAAGCATTTGAATTTGACTTTCAAACCTGTTTAAGCTGTTTTAAAACTGAAGTTGCACACGATAGGTTCATGAGCATATTGAGTTATAATACCTTTTTCCCATTCTGTTAAGAATTTTAATAACGAACATATATGCATATCTTCTCTTTACGGATATTTTACTGTGCATCTCTCCATCCGTTTGTCTGTATGAATTGATGTTTTCAACGCTAAACTGCAACGTACATGTAATAACAGTCTTGTAAGTAACATTTCGACATCTTCCACATCAGAATTTCTTTCTCTTTTTCTACAAATAAATACAACCGATTCTTTCACAATTCTCACGGATATTTCTTTGAAGTCAACTTTCATTAAAAAAGAATCTCCCGAATACCTGTTTTCAAATAAACTGTAATCGAATTGTATCTTAAATTGAACTTTGAATTGGTAATTTAATAAAATAAATGTAGTTGACTAACACGTCATTGAAACAAATATACCGTATAAGCAGGATTTTTAGGAAGATTTAATTTTGTTATTATTAGCGAGGGTGCTGAGATCGCTAAAATTGAATATAGCTAAAAATTGATTGCGTTTTAGTTGTAATAGCTTCTTTAGTGAGCTTTTAAACATCGCTAAATATAGTTTTCGCTAAAAATAAAATACTCATTTTCAAGGACAAATCGCTAAATTTGCATCTCGCTAGAATTTCCACTTATAAGGTAGATATAAAATAAAATCCTGTTGACTGTCATTAAAGCTTTAGAGGGTCATAACTTATTAATCTTTAATAAACCTTTATATCAAAATTTGATTTTCGTAAAGGATGAGGTGACTTGCGGCCCCTCGTATACTGACAAAAAATCAAATGTCTAAATTTTAATCACATTTTTGTATGTAACTAATCACTGATATGTGTACCTTTATAGAATACAATTTTTAACAAAAATAGAAACGTGATTTGAAAGATATAGATCTTTTATTGGGGTAGGGGTATCATGTTTACATTCAATTCCCATAGCATTTTAACCCCGCCCCACTCTTTGAAGCCCTTAAAATATACGAGCGCAGGTAGGTACAATTTTCTCCTTTGACTGGTCACTGAATTTTATTGAAATCTACCTATATGTGAAAGGAGAAAATTGTACCTAACTGCGCTCACATGCTATTTTTAAAAAAAAATTGTAAAATCTAGTTGGCCTTTCCCATTATAAACAGATCGACGGAACTAGATTTTCTGACGTAAGAATGAATTCATATGCTAATCGAGGCACAGGCGAGCTTCTAACTGACCAATCAGCTAAATGAAATTCGTTACGAGTGAGTTCCACAAAAATACTAGGGAAACATGCTTGGAATTTTACTGCTTTCCGATAGCTTTTTATGCATTTGAGTCACAGATTAGACACGGATCTACATATGTACCATTTCCGAGACCACAGTAAAATTTATATACAGTTACAAACAATTAATAGAATATACATGTTAAACATTAGTGTAAAGTTTTGTAGCGTGTTTGGTGAGCAATTCGCTAGGTCTACACGTATTTCCCGAGTATCGGTGAATATAAGTTTCATGTGCATTTCTTGTCCTAAAAACCGTAAATGCTGAAAATCCATGCGTATTATTAAGTATAAACAGCATTGGCTGACCATTATAAAAGTTTGAAATGTAGAAAAGGATAACAGGTAAATTGACCTAAACCACGTGTGTGCGATAAAATGTAAACGTAGTAAACCAGCATGTTTTGTTGTTCTGTCATCGGATTGGACAATGACTAAGTGCGAAATAATAACAATATCCATATAAGGTCTTCTCGGACACGCAAATCCCTCTATTTACTAAGACCCGCCCATTCTCTTGCCATAAAAGAAAATACCTGGCCGAATTTAGCTGTGATAGGGTCTAAAAAATCAAAGATAATCCAGTATTCCTTGTAAATAAAATGTGCCTGAACTAATGAAACTATTCAAAAGGCGTCGTATTTATTCACTCATGTTTGAAAACTACCAACATCGTTGTAGATTAAATATAATTCGTCGTGGAAAAAGGGGCCCCAGATAGCAGTTATGTCACATCATCCTTTCACATCCAAATGCTTCTTTTCTTCAACCAAATCTTAATGTTAATTCATCAAACACCTGTACAGAGCTGTTTTGTTTCTTGACTTTGTTTATCCTGCAATAGCTAAGTTAAGGTTCTTTCCCTTTGATCGCAAATATTTCTTCAAGCTATTTCTTATTTATGGAGATAAACAGTATTCAAGTTTTAAAGTCCGTTGAACAATACAGATGAGGAGCAGAGCAAACACAAACTTCTAAAACATCAGAGGTGGGTTCAGGTGCCATAGAGGAGTGAGCTTCTCCTGCCCTGCCGATCGGTCATACCCGTTGTAAGCTCTTTGTCATGATCGGATAATAAAGGAAAAGTCTTTCGACAGTTCAGTGTGTATATAATAGTCTAACAATTAGAATGAAAAACGTCAGAAAGTATATGACTTAATGATAGAGTGTATTGGGACAAGCTCTTTGTTTCGAACATACAGAACTTACAAAAGGATGGCTTTAAAAGAGAATTCTGATGTTTTTGTTTCATCAACCTGTTTGTCAATAAGTTACCTCTTTTTATAAATTGTTCTTATGTAGAGCATGTTCTTGTTTATCGAATCAAATGATATCAACCCCGTATGCATGTGATAAGTATATACTCAGCATCACTTGGTTTTCAGATAACCATTGATGTCTTTTCTAGTAAAATATCCAAATATGAAATAGATATATCAGGTTTTGTAGTATCTTTTATTTCAAGGTTACCGCGAAAT